TTTATTTTTTTTATGTAATTATTTATTTAAATTCCTTTCCCCCTTCTCTCTCTCTTTCTGTCTTCTCGATCCTAAAGATAAATTGGATTAGAAATCTGTAAAACAAGAAATTAGAAAGCGATTTGAATCTCTGAGATATTGTCTCTATTTTATATATACACTGGTCAAAAAAATTCTCGCAACACGCAATTAATATCAAAATTTCGCGTAAATTCAAATAAGCGTATCTCCGCGAAAAATGATCGTATTTGAAATTTTTTTTGTTTTAAAGAGTAAAGTTTTTACTTTAAGAAACTGTCATTCGATTTTGATTTTATCTTCTCCTTCTCTCTCCATCCCTTTAAAAAAGTGTATTTTTTTTCAAAAAATTGCAAAATTTGATGAACACTACGAGGTGAAATAAATTTTTTTCGCAAATCTTATCCAAATTTTTGTAAAATATGGACTTTTTTCTACAAATTAAAAAAAGTAAAGTTTATACAATTTTTTGGCAGAGTTACGGCATATTAAAGTTATCTATGCATTTTTGTGCAATTATCACCAGTATTAGCGATACCTGACGCGCACCAACGATGATTGTGCGACAATTTGCTAATGAAGATCTCCCTCACAGAATCAGTGATCAACCAATTAGAAGACGTTTACGTGAACGTGGTTTAAGATCGCGAATTTGATATTTTCCTCTCCAAATGTATGGATCATACATTTTTTTCATATAACTCATTTAACTCTGCCAAAAAAATTGTACGAATTTTGCTTTTTTTTAATTTGTAAATTTCAAATACGATAATTTTTCGCAGAGATACGCTTATTTGAATATACGCGGATATTAATTGAGTGTAGTTGCGATAATTTTTTTAACCAGTGTATAATACTTCTACATGAATATTATTTACATTGATATTTACTTCATTACATTTACAATAGTAGAGATAAAAAACTATAATTATTTATATTATCGTTAAAATTGTGAAAATATTGAGATTCTTAAGGAATTTTTTAAATGTAACAAGTGTTATTTTTTTGTTTTTCGAAATTTTGTTAGAGAGTTTATAAAAAAACTTTTTGCATCGAAATTGTTTCTACATATTTATTAGTATCTACAGTGCATTCACTTTCTTTGTTACAAAAAAATTAGTTGCAGTAAATCGTTTTGTGAATTTTCTACCACAATTTACGTCAAAAATTTTTTTCTTATTTTTACAATCTTTTAAAGATAAAAAATTGCAAAAATTGAAACTTAATTTTTAAAGTGACATAATATTTTAATTTTTTAATATTTTTTTTATTCTGGTACCTATTATAACCAAAGACATACTAATTAAAAATTATTTTGAATTTTTAAATGAGAAGAACCGATCTAATCATGGACACCATGCACCAACCTTTTTTCATCTATAATTTCAAAGTGTAAGCTAATTTTCACTTTTTTGTCAAAAAAGTGCCACTTTTTTGTACCAAAGAAATTTGTAAACACACTGTAGATACTAATCACAATACTTTAAGAATATTGAGATTCTTAAAAAATAATCTCGATATTAAACTAATTGGTAATTCTTTAATTATTTGCCAAAAATAGTTGAGAAATATATTAAGTCACACATATATCACAATTTGAACACTTTAGAATAAAATTAAGATCAATAAATGGCTTCAAACATTTTCATCAAGCATTCACCGAAGCGTGAAACATTGAAATTCAGAACAACGAACAATAAAATATGCTATATGCACAATATGCTACATACTTTTTATTTTCTTTTATAAAAAAGTACATTAAAAGAAATGAAATACTAACATTAGAGACCATGACCTCATATTATTTTTCTGTAAGGAAAAGATATGAAATTTATTGAACTGATAATAAAAGCGTTAATAATAACTTTCAAAATTTTAATGTTAATTTTAATATATAAATTTAATGTCGATGTTATCATGTACTCGCTAATTTTACAAATGTAAATTATTTTCTCTCTATTATCCAATATTTAACAATGGTGACCGCATTGTTATTGTCATTGAGAGCAAATGTCATGTAATCATTATCTCAACATACAATAGTATATGTGTAAAAATATAAAAATATTGTTACGATTAAATTACACACACACATGTTCACACATTTTTTCAGATTTTCTTAAATAATTTTTATATTAAATCGATACATCAAAATACATATTTTTGAACACGTAGTTTAAGGTTGTGAACGTAATAAAAAGATTCCCACCTAATTCCCCTAAACCAACGTGGAATTCAGGGCCTTAGCGGTATCGTTTCGCCATTAATTTTTGTAATTGATAATGAATTTGGGCCGTGGCATAGAAAAATGTAAGCAATATGATTTAAAAATTTCATCTTTATAGACATCTTTATATCTTGTATTTCTTTAAAATAACTTATTGCTCAACTATGACTGGTCGATGCGTTTATTGCTTAATTGTAAGTTCTATCACTTACGTTTTTTCTGCGTGTCACAATCCTTACAAAAAACTAGATAATATATACATTAACAAGTTTAGCAAGTATAGAAGCATTTTGTGCGGTATTTAAAGTTCACTATACATATATATATGTCAGATATGTCATATATATATGTCATATATATATGTCATATATATATGTCATATATATATGTATACACGTGTATAGTCACGAGTCAGAACCGGTATAGAAGAAAAGGAATTCATTATTATGAAATTCCAATATTATATTTAATATTTTGATAAATATTTTGGTTAAATTACATAGATACAATTTTTTTATTTTTGTAGTTAAAAGTAATAAAAATTTTAAACAATTATGAAAAAATTATTTTTACATACACACATACATAACTAATATGTATATATGGAGTATTAAAAAATTCGACGATTATTATGATATGAAAATTTGTGAAAAATTAGGTAATATAAGTAATACATTTGCAATTTTTTATTTTAAGTAGTAATTTTTAAAATAGAATTTGAAGCTGATTATTTGACTACGTTTATAGAGTTGTCTATTCGTAATTATATATATGTGTATACATATGTATACTTACGAATAGACGTATGTATACATATGTATACATACTGACTCCTGACATATATGTGTATACATACGTCATTAAATTAGTGTCTACGCGATTTATAGACGCAAGTCTAAATATAACCTATGACTGGTTAACTATAAATTCTTATATCTCAAAAATTACTCCTTATTCTTAGAACAAAAAATGGCATGCAGTTTTATTATTTGTTTACTTTTTCATTTTTATTATTATTGTTAATAATTGTTATATAGTTAATAATAAGACATTCTGGATAAAATGTAAGAGCAAAATCAATGAAATTAACTACTTTTGCCAAAAAATTTAAAGCAAAGAAAAATTCGCAATCAAATCATTGATTAAGGAATTTAAATTAAGGAATTATTTGCGTTTGGCAAGCGTATCATGGTTGGCTGATGTGTGTCGCAACGAGACTACAACATATTACAACTCGCTTGCACCTATCTGACCGGTTCTTGCACCTGACCAGTAGCAACAAGTAGGAGGAACGAAATGGAATGCCTCTCACCAATTCTCCGCTATGTGTGTGTGTGTGTGTGTGTGTGTGTGTGTGTGTGTGTGTGTGTGTGTGTATGTGTGCGTGTGTGTGTGGTTTTAACTTTTTTGAGTTTTTCTAATTATTTATTCTTAATTTGTTCACAAAATTTTAAAGAAATTTGTATTTCTATGATAATTATTTATTTATAATTATTTATGATAATTATTTATTTATAATTATCTATTTATAATTAAAATAAAGTTATATTGTATTATGAACATCTTTCTTCTTTTGTTTCTTTTCTTTTTCTATATACTCTTAAAATTTATAAAATGTAAAAATGTATTTTATAATATTTAAGCGTAAATTAATTAATAAAATTGTGTGTGCACATGCGCGCATAGAAAATACACACACATACACATATAATATATATATATATATATATATATGTATATATTTCCGTGATAATTGATGAGTCAATTTATTTTTGAATTATTCAAAATTTTTTAATTCAAATAAAAGATCTCAAACTTACAGCAGGATAATTCAAATATTATCACTCACAATATCGTAGTTGTGTCATATCATTTTGAAATCAATTGCAAAATATTGCAAAACTTATGAGTAAAAGAATTATGAGAACATGCGAGACTTCTTTTCAGTCTTTCGATTTCGCGAGTCTTTTTTGGGTTTTTAAAGTTTTCAAATTGATTTGATTTCAAGTTGATATCTTTTCAAAAATTAATATATTTCAATTTATTTTATACTTTATTACGAAAAATACTTAAAAATACTTTATATACGTCAATAATGTCTAATCTCTCTTTCTTTTTAATAATGATATAAGCAATATTATATTACACAGTGCGACACAATTCTTCGCATGAGATTTTTTTTTGGAATTGAAAATATAAATGATAAAGAGCAATTCTGCATAAATAATTTTACTAAATTAAATCTACATTTTAATTTTAAAATTTGATATCCAAAGTGATTTTCGACGATTTTATTGCTTTAAAATAGAAAATAATTCTCCCCGATTTACATCATCAATATTCAATAGTCATTGGAAAGGAATTTAAGAATAGCATGTAGAAAAAATATAAATGCATTTTTTCAACAATTAAAGGGCGCTTTAAAGTGCAAAAATTGAAGTTAAGACTTCTTTTATCCTCATCCTAGCCTCACTTTCAATTTTTGCATTTTAAACTGATTTTAAAGCGCTCTCTGGTTGCAAAAAGATTGTATTTATATTTTTTTCACATTCTATTTTTAAATACTTTTTTAGTTATTAATGACGTAAATCAGAGAATTATTTTTTATTTTTAAAGCAATAAAACCGGCAAAAAACCACTTTCGATCTCAAATTTAAACATTAAAAAACTAAATCTAATTTAGCAAAATTGTCTAAACATAATTATTTTGTATTATCTATATTTAAAAAATAATCTCATGCCCAAAAACAAAAATTTAAAATTTGTCGTATTGAGTTATGAATATATTTAAATTTTTAATAGTGGATATTAATTTTGAATGATAATTTTTACTTACCCAAAAATGACTCATAATGTTGACATCCATTGTTCTGATAATAAGTTTGTCCGGAGTGTCCAAAAATTTCATTCCCGTAACAATGCCCGCATTATTAATAAGAATCGTAACCTAAAAATAAAGTATGCAAAAGTGTGATTTATTTTTGCTTAAAACGAAGAAATTATCATTTTGTGTAAAACAATAATATTGAAAAGCTAAAAACATAACTATACATATATGTACAATATTCTAATATAATTTTATTATTGAAGAGAAAATAGATAAAATTACAAAAAAAGATTTCTTTTTTCGCAATTCTTAAAACAAGTCAAGTCCAGCCTAACATACCTATTACAACATTATTGAGTAATATAGACTTTCATAATGTCGTTCGCAGAAAAGTACGCGTTAACGAATAGTTCCTCGCCGAATCGCAATCTGTTTGTCTTTTATCAAGACATCCTTTCTTGCATTCCATTGAATATCTACGATTTATCTAACAATAACTTGCGAAAGTTAATATGTACATTGGTTAATTATAAAATTTGTAATGGGACAGCCTATATGAAATTATTGATTTTTCTATAAAAGAAAACTAGTTTTAATAATAATATAAATATATTTAAATCGGCCAATAGAGCCAAGCGCAAAAATTAATTTTTCGGAACTGTATCTCTTGGTTTGAGATTACTAGATTCCATATATTAATTAACTTCAAACATTAAATATGTGTGTGAGTGTGTGTGTGTGTGTGTGGAAAAATAGGCGAGAAAAAATCAATTTTGTTTGAAAATTTTTTAGTTAATTATTTATATTAAAATATAGCAGTTTAAAGTTTCGACTTATAGCACTCGCAGATTACATAAAATAAAAATTAAAACATTCTATTCTGACTGATTTAATTTATTAAATATTCGAAACGTTTACCATGGACTTGTAAACATGTTTTTGTCCGAATTAACAAAATATTCCTATCACTGAAAAAAAATTTATTAAATTTGTATAAATATTTATTTCAATACTGCCTTATAAATCATTTATTTGAAACTAATAATATTGATTTGATGTGAAAAATATTTATTTAATATAAGAAAATTCTTTTCAAAATATTTATTTGTTTCAAATAAATGATTTATAAAACTGTATTGAAATAAATATTTATTAATTTAATAATCATTTATTTCAGTATAAAATTTGATTTTCAGAGTCTTTTGTCATTATATTTTTGTGGAGATATGTGAAGGACAAAATTATATTTGAACCGTTAGCACTGGAAAAAATATGAAGCAGAGAATGCGATGTTTGCGCTCCAATGATTCCCAAAACGCTACTAAAAGTTAGGAATATTTTATTAATTCAAATAAATATATGTTTACAAGTCCATGATGAACATTTTGAACATTTAATAAATTAAATAAATTAGAGTGTTATGATTTTGATTTCGTGTAATTCTCGAGCGCTTCAAGTACCTATAAATCGAAACTTTAAATTGTCATATTTTTTCAAAAAAAGAAATGTCTGACAAAAAATGTTTTGGATATAATTAAGTTGTTTTCATTCATAGAATGTAAAAATGTAATTTTATATAGGATGTCCCATTTAAAATTTTATAGTAGGTATATATTAAAATTTATTTTCAGGTTTGAACCGCGTAAACTTTTGTTCCGTTTTGTGAATATTTCAATTCACTTCATTACGGAGGAATAGCATGATACTGATATATCCTGATACAGTGTACTGTGTATACAGAATGTCTCACATAAAGTGTTACAAATTGTTTTGTCTGCTACAACTAGAAATATTAAATTGATTTTTTTAATTAAATGGGACAAGATGCTTGAAAATGGGTAAAAAAATATTGGAAGTCTTTAAAGAACAAAAGGGGCTTTCCTTATTTTTAAAAATGGAACCATTAAATTTTGTCGATATACATAAATCGATCATTTGTAATATGTGACATAAAAAGTTATAAGAATAAGACGATTAAAAGGTGAATAGTTTACGAGATATTTTGTACTTTAATGTGACATATATAAGCTATAAAATATTTTATAAATTTTCGATTATTTTATTTCAATACTTTTATGCACAAAATAATGAGAGGAATTAATTAGTGTAAAGAAAACACATAGTTGTTTTTAAGAAAACGTATGTAATTTAATTGCAACTAGCAGTTATTATACATACTAGGCAGATTACCTTCAAATCTTTTAACATAACGTTTTAAGTTTTTTTAATTTTTTTAGATTCTTTACATCTTTTCTAAAAAAAGAAAAAAATACTTTTGTTTTATTTTGTAGAAATAAATGTTTTCGAGAAAAACACACTTAAATGCAAAGTAAAGTTTTATTCAGATAAGAGAATAATTTTGAATGATTACAAAATTACATGTTTTTGCGTTAAAATTTATTGAAACGTAATATATTTAGAAATTATAAATATGCTCAATACAACTTCCCCTAATTTAACGTATTCTCGTACACGACGAATTAATGACAATTGCACTCATCCCTAGCTTTTCGACATAAAATCAAGAAATTTGTCACGCTGTTTTAAAGATCTTTGGTTAATATAAAAATACTTATTACAAATGATTAAACTATGCAGAGAAGGAGAGAGAGAGAGAGAGGGAAAGAGGGAGAGAGAGAGAGAGAGAGAGAGAGAAATTTTAACTTTAAAGACAAATACATATCTCCATTTAGATGCGCATTTTATAGATAATAGTTTTATAGGAACTTATGAAATATATATATATATATATATATATATATATATATATATTTTCATCTAGTCTACATTTCAATGAGAGATTTTCTACTTTTCTACCGGAACATTTTATATATGTATACGTACATGTGTATTTATTTGTCCCAAGAAAGAAAGAAGAAATTGTGACTTACTTTTATTGAGTAATTATAGTAATTAGTGAAAATAAATATATATAATAAGAATACTTTTAAGTCAGCTCTTTAATTTTAAAACCACAATCTACACTTCATTCCTCTCGACCAATAGAGCCAAACGCGATGTTATTGCGACAATTAAGAAAGAAAGAAAATTTGGAAACTAAGGAATTTGAATTCTATGGTTGGGATCTCAAAAATTCTCCTATAAATATATATATTTACTATTTTTTGTTCCTTTCCTTGTTTTGTTTAACTTATAATAATATAGAAAATGCATATCATGCTAGATTTATCTTTACATCTACAATTCAGCATCAAAAACATTAAGAAAAATACGTATATTTTTTTCTTATTTTTTGATATTGAATTATAATTATAATATCTATAATATATAATTATGTTATTATATATACCTTGCCGATTTCGTCATTGATAATTTTGGCTTTTTTATATACATCTTCTCGGTCGCATAAGTCACAGACATAACCATAACATGTACCTCCGATCGCCTGTACTAGCTTAACAGTTTCCTCAATGCCTAAAATGAAATAGAAATGTAAATAATTTGCATTTGTACACTTTGTTTGACACATTTCAACAATGATAATTGTATATTAGACAGGATGTATCAAAAATGTCAAAATTCTTTAATCCTTTACGAAAATTACGCATTTTCAAAAAAAATATTTTATACAAAAGTTACAAAGATTTAAAAAAATTATCAATTTACTTATGATTTTTTATGCAGAATATTACGAGAAAATTTACATAAAACATTTAAGTTAATTCCATTTAGATCTATTTATGAAAATCGTGTTGACCTTAAAATGACCTTGAAAAATTCCACCCAAGATTAAACTGATAAGGCTAATATAAATATATATATATTTTTTAATCTTATAACTTTTTATGAACATTTTTTTGAGAATGCTTAGTTTTCATAAAATTAAGAGATTTCAACATTTTTTGTACACATGTATACACTGTGCTCACAGGAAAATATATATATATATATATATATATATATATATATATATATATATGTAAAGGTGTGTGTGTATATATATATATATACTATATGTTTAATTATATTGTAAAAAAGTAAGACATACTCTAGATTGCAGGTCACTGATGCAGAAAAAAAGAAAGGTAATTTTAACATCTCTCAGGGTTTATTTTTATACTAATTTAGATCTATTTTATTATTACAGTACGCAAGCAGGCATCTAACAATAAAAACAATATTTTACTTTATAAAAAAATATTTATTGTTATAATTTCTTTAAAACGTTTTTATTTATATATTGTGTACCAATATAATATTTAATCTGAAAATTGAAATTATAAATTAAAATTCACAATAATAATTTATGAAATTTGATGAAAATTACACTAATTTTTGCAACTGTTCCAAAAAATAATGTAATAACTATTTAATTATAAAATTTAATACATTTCTTTATATTAATATATTGATATTAATATTTATATATTGATATTAATATTTCCTTTTATAATTAAGTAACTACATAAAAAATTAATTAAAAAACAAAAAGCGCATACAAATATATTATTCTTAAAAAAAGTATAAAATATATGCATAAAATTTGGATATTTTATATATTATATATACATGTATATATACAGGGTGACCCCAAACGTTCCAGCCAGACTTTGAAATTTTATAGGAAATTTAATTCTGAACAAAAAATTTTCTATAAACATGGGTCGAAAAATACTTCCTTAAGAAGTTATCGCTCAAAAACCTCTGATAAAGGAAGAACAAAAGGTAAAAAGAAAATGAAATAAAAAGAAAATGAAACTTAATAAATTTCTTGAAAAAAACGATAACAATAAAAAATAAAAATTTTTTTCTTTTATGAAAATAAAATAAATTTTTTTATATTGATAAACTCCCGAAACTCTGGAAATAGATACACAAAGATAATAAGTAACACCGCTCATTTTTACCTTGCGATCACTTTGTCTGTAACATTGTAAGTGTGCGGATCTCAAGAATCGATGTTCCTCCTACACTACTGTTTTACGTTGCAATCTAGTCATATGCAAGTTTCTATACATCTTCGTTTTCTTACATCCTATTAAGTTTAAATAAAACAATAACTATTTAATAACGTTATAGGATTCAAATTATTTGTTTCAAATCACATGTGTCTATCGGGTCTAAGAACCGGAGTAGAAATATAACTTACAAACTTACGAACTTACTTTCGTTTTCCGATTCAGCGACTTTCGGATCTATATTTTTCTCTTGCATTTACTTATTTCCGTAGGGGGGTGAAAGGGTTATTGAAATTAAATCTCAAATATGAGATTATTTCATATTTTAAATCTTGGCCGTGACCAAGTAAAATTTGGTGCCTTGTGCACAGATACTTAATCCTAACGAAAAATTTAGTTCTAACAATTACAAATACAAATAAACTTTCTTTTAATTTCGTAATTTTCGTAAATTTAGAAGTAGATGAACTATATATGCAAATAACTATTTTTATATTTTTTTACTTTTTATCTTAAATATAAACTTGGTTTGAGATTATTAAGTTCCATATATAAATTAATCTCGAAACTTACATATGGAGAAATAGGCGCGAAAAATATAGATCCGAAAAGTCGCTGAAGCGGGAATCGAACCCGCGTCTTTCACTTTCCGGGCGACTGCTCTTACCAACTAAGCTATTCAGATCCTTTCGATCCTATATTTTTCATTTGCCTAGGCAAATGAAAAAACATCATATTTATATTCTTAATATTGAGAGCAGATAAAAATATTTCTTTCTGATTTTATTCACGCCTTGGCCTAATCACGGCATTATTTACTAACATCTACTAAAAGGCAAATGAAAAATATAGGATCGAAAGGGTCTGAATAGCTTAGTTGGTAAGAGCAGTCGCCCGGAAAGTGAAAGACGCGGGTTCGATTCCCGCTTCAGCGACTTTTCGGACCTATATTTTTCGCGCCTATTTCTCCATATGTAAGTTTCGAGATTAATTTATATATGGAACTTAGTGATCTCAAACCAAGAGATACAGTTCCAAATAATTAATTTTTCGTGCTTTGGTTCTGTTGGCCGATTTAAAACACATCATATTTATATTCATTTTTTTATTATTAAAATATATATTTGACAATGAATAACAAAATTTTGTTTAAGGTTCAACTTAATTGACAAATATTGAAGTGATTAGAATTAAATATGAAAGTTATATATATCTTTCTAATATAATCTTTGAACTATTACAACATAAAATTTTAAAAATGTAAAATTGCATATTATTTCTGAAATTACCACTAACATCAGTTTCACCCAAAACGCACCACGTGGAGGTGTACGGTTAGATTTATTGGGTGAAGCTGATGTCGGTGGTAATTTTGAAAACGATATGCAACTGATATGCTTTCTCATATGACAGTTTCCAAAGATGGAAAAGATAAAAAAAGAATAATTATATTACGAGACGTATATAAAAAATAAATGCCGGTTCGTCATTTAAAAAAAACATTTATTACAAAAAATTTACATATACATGTATTATTACATGTATATGTAATATACATGCATTATTTTATTTATATAGTCATTATTTTTTAAACATATTTTGGGGGAAGAATAAGCTTTTTTATGCTTTGTGTATAAAAATCTGCCGCTTGAGATATCAGTTAGTTTCGCACTGTACCCTGTATACTCTGTAAAATGTTTGGAAATTCTATAGTAAGAGCATTGATTATGAAGCGTCTGTTTTTTCACACTTTTGCATTCACTTTTTTAACAAGCTCATCCGTCTGAACACTAGACCCCCCCTCCCTCACTTCTCTCTTCATCACGAACATTTGTACGGCCTTCGTTAAACTCATGACGTCACTGCCTTACCTTTCTTTCACTCATTATTATAGGCTCATAAATGTCACACAATTCATGATAAATTTCAGCGGCATTTAAAACATTTGTACTGAGAAATCGAAATTACGAATCAGACTTCATATGACGGGAATTTTTATTATCCTACCATTTTTATTCACTGTCGCGAGAAAGATAACAATTAGAGACTTGCTGAGAAAATGTTCAACAGCTTCTTAATAAACTTTCTAATAAATACTTGAAGTTATTATATATGTACGAACTGATTCATTTACCAACATTTTATTACCAATCAACCCTTATTTTTAACATACACTTCGTACATTAATTTTGACAAATTAATTTTCGTTTGTTACATTAATTTCGACGAATTAATATTTGATATATTTAGATTAGATTATATTTTTATGTTTATTATTTTATATTTATTTTTATTTATATATTTATTATTATTTTATTATATGTATAGTAATTAATTAGAGGATAATAATACAAGTTTTTAATTAAAATAATAATACAATAAATAAGTTTGTTTTTTACACGTGATTTAATCTTTTCAAAGATTACCTTACATAAGAACAATAAATATTTATTTACACTGATTTCGGTAAAAAAAAGATTGTTTATACATTTTTTTAAAAATCTGATATAATTTTTTCATGTCTCTTTTTTATAAATTAATATATATTTATATGCATATTTTATAAACTTTACGTAGAATAAGCGTTTTAGTCAAAACCCGAAATAGTTTTCTGTTTTTAGTCCATCCTAAAAAAACTAATTGGCTAGTCAAGCTTAGAAACTAAAAAAAAACCACTTTGGTCTTCGACCAATCAATCCTAAGCTTAGCTTAATTTGGATTTTGAATGTTAAAAAAATAAAATATTTTGACCAATATTCTTATTGTTAACATACGTAACGTAACTTTTAAATTATTTTACTCTTGTAGTTCTTTCTTTTTAAGTTAAAAAATATACCTTTGGTAAAATATTATATATAAACACAACCTCTCAATAAAAAGAAAATATTTATTTAGTTAGTTAAATAACTTGAAAATAATACAAAATACTATAAAATATTATAAAATAATTAATAATATAAAATAGACATACCTTTACGATTTAGCTTTATTTAGAACATAAAATGATATAAAATTTATTTAAAACACAAAATGTACTCTCTTTAGAAATATACAATAAAAATATCTTAATTATTTTATTTAAATAATTAGTATAAAAATATTTTTTTTAAATTAAATACAATATGAGAAATTTTTTGTAAAGTATAGAGCATATATTAATTTACTATTATATTAATTTACTAGTTCATTATACGACTGTATATATGTTTGCAATTTTAATTTTCCACTGGTACAAATTTCTACTTTCACTTGGCGCAATTTTTTTTGATATCATTACTTTTGTAGTAAGATTCTACATGGGTTTACAATGGATAATTTTTCATACAATTCTACATAGGGTTGTAATGGTTTATTTTGCATAGAATTCTACATGGGTTTGCAATGAGTAATTTTTTGTTACTATGGCATGCCGTTAACTGGACGCTTTTTTTTAAAGATAAATTTTTAGAGATTATATCATTCATTTTTGTATATAATCAAACTAATCATCATTTTAAGAATATAATTATTAATAAT